CCGGGGTCAGCACCACCGCGCCGTCCGGGATCACCTCCTCCTCGGAGTTCATGAAGCGCAGGTAGTCGGAGGCGATGAAGAAGGTGTCGCCGCGGTAGGCCACGGGGGACAGCACGAAGGCGTGCAGGAAGACCCGGCGGAACATCCGGAGGAACATGACGCCTTGGCAGAAGATCTGCACGCTGCCGTCCGGCAGGGGCGTGTGGTCCGCGATGATGATCTCCACTTTTCGCATGCCGAGCTGCTGGTCAAGCTGGGCCAGGTGGCCGCGGATCTCCCGGCTGCCGTGGGCGATGGCGGGGGCCTCCTCATGAAGGTCCGCCAGCGTGACGTAGGAGCTGTCGCCGTAGTAGGGCGCCATGCTCGCCATCTCGCCCTGCATGACGAATTTGTTGTAGTACTGCGCGAGAAAGCAGCTCGAGACGCTCCTCGCGACGTTCATCGAAAGCGCCATCGGGCGTTGGGCGTGCAGGGGTCGGGTGGGGGTCGGCAAAGGATAAATCGGGGGTGTCGCGTTAAGCTAAGAGCACGAATACGGTTAATAGTCGTAAGATGGATAACGGTTAGGATACTAATAAAGTTAAACTTACACTCTGTGGTGACACGAATCAACCCAAAGAAGAGGGGGGGGGGGAGGGAGTGGGGGCGTATGTGTGAGCGTGAGATTGGATTTGGATAGACATCATGGTTATTATTTTTTTTTTTTTGGGGGGGAGTTAATAATCCATTGCTTTTTTTATCACTGTTCTTACAAACCCATGGCGAGGGGAAAGCAACGGAGGAATAGACCACACACCCACGCAAAATGAACCCCTAAAGTGCAAATTTTAGGGTGGGAAATACATAAACTAGGCAACTCACCAACCTAAAGGGAAAAAAGTAGTATTTGCCTATGTTATTGTTTAGTTATAAATGTTTTTTTTTTTTAATTTACCATCCCGAGGGGTACTTGAACCCTTTCACCCTCAAAAAAAAATTACCAAAGCCACGAACCAAATCGAAGGACCTTTTCAGAATTTTTTTACTTTAAAAAGCCCAAGGCCCATGGGAGCGCCATTCAATTTGGTGAACTCCCCCTCATCCGTTTCCCTCCCGAACGAAGGGGACCTGACAGGTGCGTTTTATTCCACTTCACAGCTGTTCATTACTGAGCAGGTGAGGGGTGGCCGGGGTGAGGCCGCTCCGCCATCCTCCCGGGCACCTCCTTCGCGAGCGTCTTCGCCAGCGGCGCGAGGTCGGTTTTGTTGTCGAGCAATTCTCTTAAGTACATCAGCGGCTCCGGCCGCGCGGGGGCGATCCCGCGAACGCGATCGTTCGTCCGCCTCCCCACCTCCCCGCCGAGCGCGAGGTCGAGCATATCGCGCACGGTGTCGATCTTCTCCGCGGCCTTGCCCAGGTCGACGCCGCGCTCCTGCTCGACGTGGAGGATGCGCTCGACGCCCGCGATGGAGACCGGCTCCAGCCCGCGCTCCACGAAATCGTCAATCAGGCCGTACTTTCCCAACATGGTGGTGGTGTTGGGGTTGTTGGAGTCCGCGTTGTCGTCGTGGGAGGCCTCCGTCGGGAGGCGTTTCGCGGCGAGGTCGTGGTGAATCGCCGCGGCGACCTCGGCGGCGTCGGGGATGGCGTGCAGAATGACGCCCTTCGCGCCGTTTTTCGCCCACCCGCTGACGTAAACCCGGGGATGGCCGACGACGCGGCCGTTTTGGTGCGCGATCGCGCCGGATTTCGCGTCAAGCGGCATCCCCGGCAGCGGATCCGCCAGGTAGCCGACGGAGCCGACCACCAAATCGCACGGCAGGACGCAGTAGCGCGACTTGGCGGGCGAATCCGCCCGATCGTCGGGCTCCGTGCGCTCGAAAAGCACCCCGCGAACGTGCCCGTCGGGGGTGGCGAGGATTCGGACGGGTTTTAGGTGGTAGTGAAACCGCACCGCGCAGGACTCCGCCGCGGCGGTCGCCGGTAGGGTTAAACTCGTCTCAGGGGAGGCCGCGGTGGGAAAAGGGCGGCCCTCGGGGTCCGTCTCGATCGCGCGCCGCTCCGCGTCGTGCTGGGCGGGCGAGATGCTGAAGGAATGGACCAACTCCATGAGGCGCTTGTGGGCGCGCGGGTTCGCGATGCCCGGGGCCTGCAGGGCCGCCGCGAGGTCGAAGGCCTCCACGCTGACCTTCACGCGCTCGGGCTGAAACCTCGCGAGCTCGCGGAACTCGGCGATGGTGAAGGCGCTGTGGGCGACCCCGCGCCGCCCGACGATCGCGATGGCGCGAATCCGCTTCGCCGCGAAGGCCTGCAGGGCCGTGGCGTTCATGTCGGTCGGGCAAAAATACCCCCCCGCGGCGCCCAGCACCCGCGCCACGTCGATCGCGACGTTGCCGTTGCCGATCACCACCACCCGGCGGGTGCGGTGGAGGTCGAACGGGCAGACCCGCGGCCGCCCGCGGGGGAAAGGGAGGGTGTTGTAGAAGTCCACCACCGCCCGGGCGGCGCAGACGCCCGCGAGGGCCTCGCCCGGGATCGCCAGGGGCCGCGCGGCGCCCGCCCCGGTCGCCAGCACCACCGCCGCGTAGTGGCGAAGCAGCGCCGCCAAGGGGAGGCCGCGGCCGACCTCGATGTTCCCGACAAACGAGACATCGGGGCCGCGCAGGAGCGCGCGGAGGGGGCGCTCGACGTTTTTGACGTCGGCGTGATCCGGCGCGACGCCGTAGCGCGAGAGCCCGAACGGGACCGGCAGCCGCTCGAAGACGTCGACGTGGAGGCCGGGCGGGAGGGGGGGGCGGCCGCGGGGGCGGACGAGGTGCGAGGCGACATAACACCCGCTCGGG